AAATAGGGAATCTGGTCTCCAAAGCAGAGTCCACAAGAGGTTAATTGACATGAAAGAAGAAAATACTATAACTTTCATTGATATTTAACTTTTTTATAAAAAATAATAAATAAGCTTTGTTAGAATTTAAGACTTGTATTAACATCAATGCCCTTCCTTAATCTATACTTATATGACAACAAATCTGATAAAGGCACTTGAGAGATCCCGAAGGAAAACTGAGAGTTCCAAGACAGAAATATTAACAGTGGCTACTTGGTTCCTCCATTTGCTTACAATTTTCTATTTACTTTTTTTTTTTTTTTTTTGCAGTTTTTGGCCAGGGCTGGGTTTGAACCCGCCACCTCCAGCATATGAGGCCAGTGCCCTACTTCTTTGAGCCACAGGTACCACCCCCTATTTACTATTAATAATATTTGGTTATTTAAAGGATTTTCAGAGTATTTATAATTCTTCATAATGAGACGGTATGTGACCCAGAGTATCTTTCCATACAAAAATTTTCTGAAAAGTAAAGTACTTGCTTCTGACCTTAAAGACTGTATATGCACTGCTCTTTACCAAAAAAGGCAAATATTTATTTGCTGCCCTATTCTGGGATAACAAGTCATTAATTGTCAACAGCATTTATGCAACAGGTATTTTAAAAAGAATATGTAAACCATTCCTTCAAAGTAAATGTGACATTTTAATAATCCATGAGAAAGTATACTGAAAGGAACATTTTGAAAATGAATATTGGAAGATGGTTTCAATGCTATGTGGCTTTTGTTGTCAAAAACTATAAATATTTATATAGCCCTACAGTTTAAATTTGGAAATATAACTTCCTTGTTGGTTTTAAAATATTCCACATGCACAGATCCGATTAGTTTTTAACCTATTCCTTTAAAAATTTAAGTGCCAGCCTTCCATTTCGTTTGCAAGGGCCAAATGACATCAGGTAAGATGAAAAATTGCCAGCTGTATTTCTGCAAATCCTTTTCAAAACTGACAGACTAAAAAATGAACAGCATAATTTAGCAAACATAGTCAACAATTTGTTTCTTTAATTTGGATTAATATATCCTTGTGAAGCAACTTTTTCAACTATGACAGGTAGTTGCAAAATGAAAAATGCAAAAATAAACTGAACTTAGAAACCTCTGAATCACTGCATTACTAAGTATTAAACTAAGCTTTTCAAAAATGACACATAACCAATCATAATATTCTCACCAAAACTTCCATAGAAATTATGAATCAATTATATTGCTCAAAAGATATATTTTTATAAAATATTAATTCATATTAAATACTATTTCATCCTCATCTCTAAGTTTTCTAATTTATAATACCCTGAATATATATATATAACAAAAGATGCATATATTTTGTACATTTAAAGCATACATATACCATTGGTTGATGTTTACAACAATTTTACTAATAATATAACCAAAAAGTTTCAAGGCCATTGCCCTAATGTTTCCTATTTCAAATAATGATTGAAGTAATTCCTTTTTTTTTGAGACAGAGTCTCAAGCTGTTGCCCTGGGTAGAGTGCCATCGCATCACAGCTCACAACCACCTCAAACTCTTGGGCTTAAGCGATTCTCTTGCCTCAGCCTCCCAAGTAGCAGGGACTACAGGCATCCGGCACAACACCGGCTATTTTTTGGTTGCAGTTGTCATTGTTGTTTGGCAGGCGGAGGCTGGATTCGAACCTGCCAACTCCAGTGTATGTAGCTGGCGCCCTAGCTGCTGAACTACAGGCACTGAGCCCAAAGTAATTCTTACAGTGTATTAAAAAAAAAAAAAAAAAAAAAAACTGTTTAAAACAAAAATTAATATGAATTATTTTTTTTTTAATAAACTTCTGTAGGAGAGGATTTTATATACTCAAATACTGATACAAAACTAGGCCAAAATTTATTTAAACGGATACTGAAAACATTCACATCCATTTTGCAGTGTTCTGTTATGAAGACAGAATAATCCTTCAAACTAGTTTAGGCTGCTGATTCAGGATTTTGCTTTACTATGTCCTTCAAAAACTATTTACTGGCCTCCTGGACCTAGTGACCACCCTAAAGTCATTAATGATCTTCCTCATCACAAACCATTCCATGCCTTTCCAAAATGCTCCTGAGGCTTTTGCATTAGTCCCACACAGCTTATCTATTTCTTACATCAGTCCTGCCATTCTGGTTAACATACCCTACAGGTTAAAAAGTCAATATGGCCAGAAAAACTTTTAAAGCGAAAAGTGTGTCTCACTTAGAACTTTGAAATTTGTAACTTCCTTTGCTATTTATAAGAGAAGAATGTTAAACACTGGAAAGAAAAATTCATTGTAAATCATGATGAGGGGCTTAATTTCTAAAAATATGAATATTTATAAAGACAGGACCCCACAACCTACAAATGTGAACCATGTTAAAATACTCTGCGAAATACGCCAGTTTACACAGTGATCCTTGTGGTTTGTAACAGATCTGTTACAAAGAACAAAGGAGACACAGAACAGATGAAAAATGCCCTGAGGAAGAGATTTTTCTTTCTATTTTCCCAAGAAGTTGAAATCTCAAGAGAAGTCAGCTTCTTCTGATCGCTAATTCACATCAGTACAAGGAATTCTAAGACTATACCTCATAACTAGACTGAAGATGGTGTATAGAGCAAGGCAGATGACTAGAGTGAACAGCATAAACTACAGGACCTCAGAGAAGCTCTCCAAAAACATATGAACAATTCCAGAACAGCACTGTACAGGGCAGACTACCCCACTAAGGGCACAGGCCAAGATATAAAGATCCCTTACTTTCAAAAAGGAAAAAGAGTGAGAGAGATCCAGATTCTAAGTTAAATAATGCATTCTATAAATCCAGGGTTTGGGGCATTTTTTTTTTCAGATTAATAGGAGGGTACAAATGTTTGATATTATTTTTTGATCACTGAATCTCTATTACTTTTTCAAATGAAATTCACTAAACTTTCAGTTGTTTTGTAAGATATATTATCTAGTTTTTCCACTATGAAATGAATAAATATAATGCTCCCTGTATTCAATCCCAAGAGTTACACATTTTAACCTAGTCTTTGTTAATAAAAATTGAGGATGATGTAACTAACTTTATTGGAAAGCTTCAAAAAGATGCAAAACCCAGAAAATTTATGATCCTGATGCAATGAAAATAAGTCAATTTTCAGATTTATAATCCTTGATGGAATGAAAATAAGTCAATCTCCAAAAAGACAAAATGGTTCTTGTGATCTGACCATGTCTAATCAAATAAACAAATGTGCTATTAGAGGCAAGCAGCAACTGTCCCAAACTGAAAAGTAAGTATCTCCTTGTTTCTAGACAGACTTATTGAACCACCCAGGAGCACCACTGAAACAAGGCTATACAGAAATGAGCACACACAGATCAATATCCACAATATGACACCTGTGCAGAAAAGAAGTCCACTCAGGCTAAAAGGCAATGCTAAGAGGCTATATGCCACTGGCATGGAGATAGTAACAAGGTTAAAGATACTCAAATCAGTGGCTGAAATCCACATCTTTAAAAATGTTAGAATCATCCAAAGGGCAGTGGAGGCTTAGAAATGTTCACAAACATAAGAACAAGTAGAGAAAAGAGGCAGAAAGAGGATCTTAACTTTCATGAGTTAACAAGACAGCAATACGAATACACACCTTTGGGTCTGAACTGCATGGGGTGGAGAGTTTTGCATATGGAGGTGTATGCAGATGTGCAAGGGAGTGCAGGGACTTGTTGGAATGGGGAGATACTTTAGGGGAAGTTGGGGGCTCATGGGGACATAGTGGAGAGATGTGATAGATTTAAAGGGATGTGGGTTCTTTGAGGGTGAGAGGATTGAGCAATATTGTAGTGGAGAGTGTGGGAGTGTTATGGATGTGTGTGTGGAATGTATGGGGAGTATGAGCATGTGTGGGCTGGGTGTGGCAGGAGTATGTGTGGCATGGTGTACACATGGTAAACATGCAATGGACATACATACATACATGTGCACACATGTACACCTGTGTGCATATCTGTGTACTTTTTTATTTGTGTAATGGCACAAATAATTGTTTATTGTTAAATTTCTATTTTAAAGTTCTTCTCCTTAAAATTACACTTTATATAACCACCTTTCACAAATGGCAAAAATTCAAAGAGAAGATGTAGTTTAATACATTTGTGAAAATAGCTCCTTTATTTTAAAGAAATCACTCCAACTTTCCTCACAAATTCATGGAATCAATGTTGAGCTAACCCAGCTATGTAAGATCAGGACATTTATTGTACTAAAGTACATAAACTTTATGGTTCATAGTATTTTGAGACCTCAGAGATATACTAATGAAAATGAAATTATTAGTATATCATCCTATTTCTTTTCTGAAACTACAAAAGACAAGTGACAGTCTGATTTACAGAAGCATAATCTCCAGGCCTGATCCTTATCACCTGGAGTCCCATCAAATCAAGGAAGGAGAAAAGTTGAAAATTTATTAAACACACACAAATAAACACAATTCCTTCCCAGTTCGCTGTATACTGTGTTCTTCTTGTTTTCAAAATTGCCGTGCCATACCTTTTCTAGTGCTTTTCTAGCAGATGGTGGTGTGTCTAAATAAACACCACCAATTATTTCGATAAGCATCATATCCATAAAAATATGCATAATCTAGTTGATCCTGCCTGGGACTGGTTTCTCACCTCATGGCTATTTTAATTTTCCAACCCATTTCAAAGAATAGGGCCAACCTTTAACTAATGTCAAATTTCAGACATAATTTTAGTTTGGGCCTTCTCTTCACCCCCAAACGAATAGTTACTCTGCAAAAATTTTATTCCTACTCCTTTCAGTTTGTTTGGCAGCAATGAGACCTCCATTGGACATTTTTCTCCCAGTAACAGGCATCTCCCACATTTACCCAAATACAACACATTCAAAAGTATAATACATTTCTGATTTCAGAGGATTTTATTTTCATGTTCTTACCTCTGAGTTGTTAAGGTGGCATCTGTGAGTTCCGGAAAACCAGCCATCACTTGAACACTGGTCAATATCCACCTTCTGGAGATTTATATCAACTTTCATGACACCCCTAAAAACAGAAAAAAAGAAAAAGAACACATTAGCCTGAGGCTTTATAATTTCTAACTTTGTATTTTATCCTGGAAATGAGACAAATCAGCATGAAGAGCATACTAAAATTTTTCAAATTGCCCACTCATATTCAACTAATGTGCACCAAGAAAAGATACAGACTAGAACAAAATCAATAATTATTAGTTTTACATAAGTCCCAAAAGCAGGGAGTTGTCTTCAGCTCCTCATATAATGCCTGACACATTATAAGTGCTCGATAAATACTTGTTAATTGACTGCACTCCAGACAACATTGCTCTGCACATGGTAGAAAACTTGACTGAAATAACACCTGCTTCCAGTAACCCTTCTAAAAAGAAATCAAAACAAGGCCGAAATCTCTTTTTTTTCTACTTCCATTTCCCATTTCAGAGTCAGTTTGAGGTTGGAGAATGAAGTATAGAGAAGAGTACCAGAAACTAAGCGTCTCTTTCTTCTGATTTTCTACTGCAATAACTTTAAACAGCACTTTGAGTCTCCTAGTGTTCTACACCCAGATTAGGGATGTACATTATCTACAGAAATGCTGCCTAAATTTTTTTCTTTTACATCTGGAAACACAATAACTTCATTTCACTTAGCCACTTGAGAAGAGTCACTAAGATAGACAACACTCAAATTCAGAACCAGCCAAAAGCTAAACTGCACAGCAAGCTCCGAGTTTGTCCAAAATTCCTCCATTTTCTCCAACCAATCTTTCTCCAATTTCTTAAGATTCCCCCTCTTCTGTTTTACCACCATCCACACCACTAGCATCAGCTGCTGTAGAAATATCTGTCCTACACTGAATTATCACACCTGGACTTTACTGAAATAAATGTTCTGTGTCCTGAGCCCTGACGCTTTGTAATGTGGTTTTTCACAAAACTAAAGTATAAACACCTCACTAAAAATTACTAAAAGTAAAAATACAGTCCCATCTTAAATTATGTGCATTAAGATATTATTTAAATATGTAAATCAGAGAATTAGGCACAAAATCCATATTTTGTAACTCTTGTAGCTACAAAAAACTCACAAAATTACAAAATAAATGCAAGAAAACAATAACGCCAACATATTTAAAGTATTAATTTAAGAAAATCAATGATTATATTTTGCCAAAACTAAATCACCTCTCAAAACAGGAGGAGTATGGTACTGACTGCTACTTGAGCAAGACTATTTCACCATATCTTATGACTCACTTCTCTCTTTTCTCCTTTTAAACTACTATGAATTCTTCCAACAAACTGCCTTCACGTCATTTGGGCTTCATTTGAGGTGAATAAATCACCTGCATTTTTGGTCTGCCTCTGTTCTTTTCTTTAACCTGTGACAAAGGACTACACTACCAGTGCTATCATGCTCAAAAGAGAGTCAAAAAAAAAAAACAGGAGCAACAAAACCTCCTGCCAGGATTTGGTTACCCAGATAACCCAGAATATGTTAAATTTTTTAGATGATCACTGAAATTAAAAACCCAAAATTTCCACAGAAAATATGCAAATCCTTCAGAATAACAGCCCTCAGTTTGCAATGTACTACTGTTGTGGGTTATTATACCATGAACAAATGGTCATGCAATAAAAAACTGGATTCTCAAGTAACTTAATGCCTTCACCAAGTTCACTCCTTTCCTTTTACAACAAATACTTCTTATCTAGCACATACATCACTCTAAGATATGCTACGGAGGATGTAAGGCAAATGATAAAAGCCTGCCTCCCAAGAGATACCAAAAGGTATAAGAAATGTTTCAAAGCATCAAAGTGTTCAATAGAGAATAGATGGTAATTTCTGACAATTTAGAAAGCTATCATTTGGGGTAAAGCAGGCATTCAATAGAATTTGCTGGCTTATTGACTAACTTCACTACTAGACCTTTCAAAAGAACTATATTCCACATAGGTTATCCCGATCTCTGGCTCTACTTTATACTCTGGAAGATAACATACCCATTCTTTCATTCAGTAAGTATTCAGGGCCTACTAGGAGCCACAATTGTTCTTTGCCCTCAAAATACATTAGTATGCAAGCAAATAGAGTGGGGGGAATCCTGCCTCTTCATGAATCTTAGCTTTAGCATAGGATAGACAAATAAGAATAGCTATGATAAATAAATTATACTGCATGTTACAAAAAAAGAAGAGACACTGGTAGGTGGGGGGCTCAAGCAGGTAAAGGGGATGAGAAAAGAACACCTTAAAAAAAATTTTAAGGCTCGGCGCCTGTGGCTCAAGTGGCTAAGGCGTCAGCCACATACACCTAAGGTGGCGGGTTCAAATCCAGCCCGGACCCGCCAAACAACAATGACGGCTGCAACCAAAAAATAGCCAGGCGTTGTGGCAGGCGCCTGTGGTCCCAGCTACTTGCGAAGGCAGGAGACTCGCTTGAGCCCAGGAGTTGGAGGTTGCTGTGAGCTGTGAAGCCATGGCACTCTACCCAGGGGGACAGCTTGAGGCTCTCTCAAAAAAAAAAAAATTTAAAAGGTGATCAGAATAAGGCCCACTGAGGTGAGATCTCCATCTCAATCAATACGTTGTCATGGGTAGAATTACAACAACTTGGTGGCACCTGTGGCTCAAGGAGTAGGGCACCAGCCCCATATACTGGAGGTGGTGGGTTCAAACTCAGTCCTGGCCAAAAACTGCAAAAAAAAAATATATATATATACATAGAATTACAGCAACTTCATGTGCACACCAAATTGCCAGTATCATAAAATTCCCCATTTGACTAATGTTGCCTACTACATTTTGGTACTCTTCCTTAAATAGCTATTTAAAAAGTATTTGTAATAAACAAACCCGCAAACATGCACGTCTATTTGTTCCACAATTGTTTTTTTTTTCCACAATTGTTAACAATAACGAGGTTAAGTTTTCCCCAACAATCCTGCTACCATGGCAGAGTTTAGTCACAAGAGGTGTGTCACAATCTTCACCTAACTCCGACAACTCAATTCCAGGAGGCTGCAATCCCTGTGGTTGGTCCCTTTTCTAGAGAAAATGGACTTCAGATACAGGTACCTAAATCTCTGAGGAATGTCTTCCTTAATTCCAGGTTCCTATATGAAAACTACAAAGTCACCTCAGGCCTTACATCCCGCTCAACGAAGCATTCCGCCCCTGCGCAAAACCTCCGAAGGTAACGAGCTGCGCGTTTCCCAGCTGGGAAATCAGCCCCGACGCATTAGCACCTTGGCCTCGGCTCGCGGGCGCCTCGAGACCTGCAAAGCCCTCGGGAAGGTGCCGCAGACTTCCTGCGGGGGACGTGGAGGCCCGGGAGAGTTAGTGGGAAATAACCCTGCGTTCGTGGGAGAGAGGATACGAACGAGATGCACCCAAGACCCGTCAACACCTCAGGACTCACGTGCCCTCACACGCAGCCGCCTGACCTAGGCCCGGCGAGAGCGCGAATGCGCCTGCGCGCCCTGTATCCCCTGAGCGGCGGCCCCTGGGGCGGAAGTGCCGCGGGCGCCTCTGGGAAATTCCGAAGGTGAGGAAGTGGCTCCTGTTTCGTGCTGTCTGGACAGGAAAGCGAGGGCCAAAAATGACTGGTAAGTGGCCTCCAGAGAAAGGAGAATATAGCAAATAGGCTCTCCCAAACACCTAGGCGTTCAACTTTGCTGCAAACCAACGCTTGCCTCTATTTGCCCAATGCCGCAAGCCCAAAACTGGATTCAGACTTGCGATTCCCCTAATTGTCTTTTTCTGTGTTAGGACCTCCAAGTCAGAACAATGGCAAAGTGCCATAGATTGAACTCTCTGCATGCTTCTTATATTTTGACCCTCCCCTTCCATTTACGTGGCCACCTTGATTCAGGCCTTCAACCTTCACGAAGCTTAAAAAAGAAACAAAAGTTTAATAATACCATACTGTTTAGTCCTGTCTAGTATTGCACCAGGTGAAGATTATGGTTTGCAGGTCCTGAAGTTTACACTTTTTCTGGGATCCTTATTTAGGGAACAAGTAAAAAAAATATGAATATATATTTATATCACACCATGACCTTTGACCCTACATCTGTGACCCAGTGTTATAACTGCTATATTGGTAGGCACTATAGGCAGAAAGAGTGTTACCAGAAGCTGTTTCCAACCACCATGTCTAGCAATAATTTCACTATACACAGAAGTGACTGCAAACCACTTTAATACATATTACTAAACCCAGACTAAAAAATCCTGAACTTCCTCCTAGCTAATTTCCCAGAATGCCCACAGCCTAAGGGAAAGTGTAATGGAAGTACATTATAGTATAAAGAGGCCATCATAGTAATAATATCTTATTTTTGAAAATTTTACAAAAACAGAACAAAAGTTATTGCTAGTACCCATTCCAAGACTATAGAAGGTTCCCATGCAAGCAAGGAATCCTGAAGTTTAAAGATTATATAGTGCTGCCTATATAGTCCTTGAAACATATAAATCTAATCCTAATAGTTCACTTTTCTACAGAATAAAATTCCAGTTCCATTTATGGTCCTAAAAAATTCATGCTATCTTAAAAAGTCATAACATTATAGTTGCCCTTATACCTGAAATCCTTTTGCCTAAACTGTGCTTTACATTATAACTCCTACTTGACCCCTTTCTAAAGCCTCCCACAAACTGATTTGGAATGAACTTCCTCATTCTCCCCATAATACATAAAGCTTATCTTCTTCACATCATTTAGCACAGTATATTATAATAGCTGTTTTTTTAGTGATCTGTATTCTCCAGTAGATTAAAATTGCCATGGTCCATATTGTTTAACAGTTTTCCATCAACTCTTACATCCCACCCCCAAATTAAAGAAATTGGAAATGCTAGAGAGAAGCAAGGAATAGCCAAACTAACAATGATTAAAAAAAAAAAAAAAAGCATACCCAAGCAAACAGAAAATGAACTGCTATGAATGAATTGAAAGAGAAATTGGATAGATAAATGGAAAGTTTTGAAATTCTGCTTTTGCGTCTTCCCCATGTTA